CAAAAAACATACCCAGAGTTGTGTTTTGTTTCCTTCACACATGCTTTCAGATATTCAGTGTGTTAAACCTGTGTGAGTGAAACAAAATAAAATAAATAAAAATAACACAGATCTGAAAATAGCTCAGTAAGGGCCTTTAAAATATTTGAGGTTGTTTTGGGTCTTGCTATTGTATTTTTTTCTCTCCCAGACTTGCTGAGATTGTTGAAGAATTTAATTTCCTACAGCGAGCTCAAAATAGTCTTTTTATTAGAGGAATTTGTCTTTTTAATAGCTTTTCCTTCCCCTTTGTTCAGAGCAGATTACACAGGCAGTAAAACTCAAGAGAAATGTGCTTCAATGCTTTTGGGGAGGTTTCTCGGTTTATTGATTATTTTTTTTTATTTCTATTTTTTGGACGAGAGTCAAGGTCCAACTGTAAATGTTTAAAATATTTGTCGCTGCAACATTAGAAGTTATTCTCCTCTAAAATGAATTCAACCTCTGATTTCCTAAATGAAGATGAAACTATCACTAAACATTAGGGATGTAACATTAACCGAAATATTGTGATATCGTATCGTCAAAAGTCTCTCAGTAATATTGTGGACCATCACAGTATATCAAATTACAAGTCTCTTTGCTTAAATTTATTGTTATGGTGCAGCAATAGCTAAAGAAACAGAGGGAACTACATAGACCATGATCCTTTGCGTCATTGCAGTACAGTTTACAAGATGAAAAGAATAATAAGGCATTGCAGGGGAAAAAAGGTTAATTATTTGTAGTTTCTGTAAACGTAAACGTAAAGCCATATTTAATTTAATTTAATATTTATTTCATTTTTTTCTCATTAGTGTTAAAAGAACAAATCATGTCTAAACCAGGACTGAATCAGGACTAAACCAGGACTGAACCAGGAGGACTAAACCAGGACTAAACCAGTATTGAACCAGGAGGACTGAACCAGGACTGAACCAGAAATAAAACAGGACTAAAACAGGACTAAAACAGGACTAAACCAGGACTGAACCAGGACTGAGCCAGGTCTAAAATAGGACTAAACCAGGACTAAAACTGGAGGACTAAACCAGGACTGAACCAGGAGGACTAAATCAGGATTGAACCAGGATTGAACCAGGAGGACTAAACCAGGACTGAACCAGGACTAAAATAGGACTAAACCAGGACTAAAACAGGAGGACTAAACCAGGACTAATATAGGACTAAACCAGGACTGAACCAGGAGGACTAAACCAGGACTGAAACAGGACTAAACCAGTATTGAACCAGGAGGACTGAACCAGGACTCAACCAGGACTCAAGCAGGACTCAACCAGGACTCAAGCAGGACTAAAACAGGGCCAAACCATGTCTCAAAAATCCCTCGAAAAACAGACATTCTGACTATGAGCAGGGTCGCCTTTCCACAGATCTGACCTGTAACTTTGGTCTGGCTTGATTTCCCTGAAGATAGAAAAGTTTAATGTCATAACATCTCCACAGAGAAAAGCAACTGACAGACCCTCCACCAGAAAAGTTACACAATGCAAGTCACTTTTTGTCAATTATTTGGAGTTTGTATAAACATAAAGCCATATTTTTATTATTTTTTCATTTAATTTTTTCTCATTAGTGTTAAAAGAACAAACAGATCTGGTGTTCTAATCACAAAATAGGAAAGACAAATGGGTACACAGAAATTGCGACAGCTTAGAAAAAATACCTGTGCCAAATATCTGCAAGATTTTAATATTGAATTGATGCTGATCTCTGAGATACGGAAGCTGAGAGGTGTCACAACAAATGCAAACGCCGCAATAAATACAAATGCGACAACACAACTAAAAGCCACAACAAACCAAAAAAGCCATAACACGCCAAAAAAAGCCACAACGGAAATGACCGCGGGACTCTATTTTAATGCAAACGCCGCAACAAATACAAACACAAACACCGCAACACATTAAAAAGCCACAACACATTAAAAAGCCACAACAGAACTGACTGCAGGACTCTGTTTTCCGACAGACCGATCAAGCGGCAAGTGAAGAAGAAGAACTACAACATGAAACGAATAATGATAAAACAATAAATTACTTTTACTTTTGTTTCCAACTTCTCCGTTCCTTTACTTTTCATGTTGTCGTTCTTCACTTGCCACTTGATCAGAAAATAGAGTCCTGCGGTCACTTCCGTTGTGGCTTTTTGATGTGTTGTGGCTTTTTAATATGTTGTGGCTTTTTGATGTGTTGTGTCTTTTTTTGGTTTGTTGTGTCTTTTTTTGGTTTGTTGTGTCTTTTTTTGGTTTGTTGTGGCTTTTTTTGATGTGTTGTGGCTTTTTGATGTGTTGTGGCTTTTTTTGGTTTGTTGTGGCTTTTTGATGTGTTGTGGCTTTTTAATGTGTTGTGGCTTTTTAATGTGTTGTGGCTTTTTGATGTGTTGCGGCTTTTTTGATGTGTTGTGGCTTTTTTTTGGTTTGTTGTGGCTTTTTGTTGTGTTGTCGCATTTGTATTTGTTTCGGCGTTTGCGTTTGTTGTGACCCCTCTCGGCTTCCGTACTGAGAAACCCTTTCGAATCCATTGCTATACTGCCCGTCTCGACCCCCAGAGGCAGCTTTAGCACAGTTTCAGTATCAGTGTTTTTGTACCTAACTGTCAGCTTGTACTTCTCTTATAATACTAGCTCAGTAGCCCGGCTGTTATTGTGAATGGAGGTGTGTGTACAAAGGGGGTGACTCATTGGCTTTTCACAGTGGCACAAATGAATGAGAGAAAAATACTCCTTTACAACTTTGTCTCCAAAATAACACCAAGGGACCTGTCTTTCATCCTTCTCTCTCTTCTTTTTATCTTTCACCATTTTTGGCTTCCCTTTTCCTGTCTCTTTCTCCGCATTATATTTTGATCCACGTCCCAGGGGTAAACAAGGCTCCTTCGTCTCCTTGTTATCGACAGCTTTAATCTCAGACGGTGCACTCAGCCGGATGTTCTCGTATGCTAATGACTCGATCAGTATGTGCTGCTCTGATGTGATGGAAGGACTATTGTGCCTGACGAGCTTCCAGTCCCCAACAGTAATTCAGGAATACTGGGAATTTTGTATAGTCTTTGGAAATGTAGTGTGCTCTCGTGCTTAAAGGTGAACTATACTGCCTGGCAAAAAAAAAAAAAATAGCCACCAAAAAAAAAGGTCACACGCTCTAATATTTCGTTGGACCGCCTTTAGCTTTGGTTACGACACGTATTCGCTGTGGCATTGTTTCAATAAGCTTCTGCAATGTCACAAGATTTATTTCCATCCAGTGTTACATTAATTTTTCACCAAGATCTTTCACTGATGATGGTAGAGTCTGACCACTGCCCCAGATTATTTGCTTAGTTAAATCCGGGTGGCGACTTTTTTTTTTTTTTTGGACAGGCAGTGTATGTAACTTTTGTAGCTGTGGGAGGCTTTTTAAAAAAAATTTCTTACCACTTTCTATATTTGATATACTGTATTTTTCGGGCTATAAGTTGCTCCGGAGTATAAGTCGCATCAGCCAAAAATGCTTAATGAAGAAGAAAAAAAATATATAAGTCACACTTTTTGAGGGAAATGTATTTTATAAAATGAGAGACCAGGAACCGACATTTCATCTTGAAAGGCAAGTTCTAGTAATAATAATAGAACAGAGAATAACAGGCAGTTAACGTCACATATGAACAGTTCTTCTGATAACTAGTGCACAAACAACAGAACAGAACAAGTTTACCAAACTCTCTATCTCACTCCAAATCACTATATCCATTGAATTCTTCATTCTCGGTGTCACTTCTGAGCAACTCCCATAGAACTATAATAAATTATTATAGATCCATGGCAACTCCATGACCTCTGGAGGAAAATGGAGCACCGCTTCCTCTTTTGCGTAGCTGTCATCAGACTTGGCATCAGTTCCAGTTAGGACAGGGCTAAACCATGTCTAAATCAGGACTGAACCAGAAGTAATCATGGACTTGAGAGCGAGAGAACTCCAAGCCTGCGGAGCAGGGTGTCCGCAATGCACGTTCGGGCGACGGCTGCACTTACTCGTGTTCTGTGCTGGTCCTTTTTCCTGCGCTCACCCTGCAGTCAGTCCTGGTTCAGTTCTGGTTCAGTCCTGGTTTAGTCCTTGTTCCGTCCTGGTCCCTCATGTCTCGGGTCACTATAGGACAGTCCTACAGATATCATGAGCCTATGCAGGTTGTTTTCACCATTGCCAATAGCTCTAGTTTGACATTTAAGTTATAGGATTTTTTATATTTGTTGTTTTTTATATGTCACATTAAAGAGAAGTGGGTGGACGCCGTATCCTTGCGTACCACACTAACTGTGAAACATTCCAAGCAAAGCAAAACCATCTCAGTGGAGACAAGCAGGTGGCGGACCATTAGCCTCCACATCAAAAAAAACAACTGTGTTTGCATTCATATAAAATAATGGCACGTCATTTTTTAGCTGCTCTATACAAATATTACCTGCTGCTGAAGCATATTATAATTGCCTTTCATGTTTTATAGTTTTAGTCGAACTGAAAACATCCAAATCTAAAATGGTTTGAGTCAAGAGCCAAAGGGCCTCATTAGCAGCTCTGTCACTGCTCTTCTGTGTGATCTAATATGCTGCGTGTACAGTGGGGCTTATTACCAAACTCCCATTTTTAAGGGCTTCTACAACCACTTGAATCATTTTGGTCCATATTTTCCCTTTCATCCTTTCCTTTAAGACTAGACCTGAAGGTGTTTGTGGTATATGTAACTTTTAATCTATGCTTTTTTATGTTTTCAAGAAAAGAATACTGAGTCTGTACATTTGAAAAGACTTTTATTTAGTTATTTCCTGATCTTACTGAACTCAAACATGTGTGAATAAAACAAAACACAACTCCAGGTATGTTTTGGAGGAGGTAACAAGATTATAACATGACTTAAAGCTCACAAGAGTCAGTTTTGTGTAATATTGGTCGCATTAACTCAGTGATTTTTTTTTTTTTTCCACAGCTCGCACCAACTGACAAGAATTTGGAGTTTGACAGAGATTTCCGCATCAGACATTATGCTGGTGATGTCGTGTAAGTAATATATGAATACTTTTACCAACATAGTACAATTCGTCATATTTCGATTATAAATTTCCTCTCGATGTGTTACAGTGGAGGAAGGAGTCAAAATGTTTTTATAGACATTGTTAAAAGTAAAGTTGATTTGAGTAGTTTTGGGGTTATTGTATTAGATTTTAAACCTGAAATTACTACTAATAGTACTTTTTATGTGTAGTTCTTACTTTGAACAATTTGGCAGCAGTACTGTACTTGTAACTGAGTAGATTATTAGCCATGTAACTGTATTTACTGTATTTATCCGGACTGTAAGTCGCTCCGGAGTATAACTTGCACCTGCCAAAAAATTTGTAATGAAGAAGAAAAAACATATATAAGTCGCACTTTTTGGGGGAAATGCATGAACCGACATTTCATCTTGAAAGGCAAGTTATAGTAATAACAATAGAATAGAGAACAACAGGCTGAATAGGCGTGAATATGTTATCGTACCATATTAACAGTTATTCAAATAATTATAACATAAACAACAGAATATAAGTTTACCAAACTCTCTATCTCACTCCAAATCACTAAATCCATTGAATTCTTCATTCTCTGTGTCACTTCTGAACAACTCCTCGACCTCCGGAGGTAAACAGAGCACCGCTTCCTCTTCTGTGTAGCTGTCTTCAGACTCAGCATCAGTTCCAGTTAGAATTATTCCGGCCTTTCTGAATCCTGACAGGATGGTTTCGGTTGTCACAGAAGTTTAGGCTTTGTCGATCCATCCAGTGACTTCCAGGAAAGTTGTATGGCGCATCCTTCTGGTTCCTGTGAAGCTGTGTTCTCCATCCCCACTTTCCGCCAGTACCTCAAGTTTCTCGCTCACTCCAAACTTTCTTTCTGCTGCTCGATTACCATTTTGACTGCATATTTCACTACTTGCAGCAGGACAGAGGCTCTTTCTGCAGGAGACATGTGTAGTAGAGTGCAAAGTGACAGTGGTACAGGAGTAATGGGAGCAGCAGATACTGACACACAAGCCTAGAGCCTCCCGCGACTGTCAGCGTGAATATTTAAATATATAAGTCACACTGGAGTATAAGTCGCAGGAAACACCCAAACCATGAAAAAAAAGTACCACTTTACAGTACTTGAGTTAAAATGTTCAGCACTCTTTCTACCACTAGTTTATGGCATCTTGAAATAAACAAAATGTGCATTTATAACTACCTTTAGAGGACAAAAAAAACATGAACTCATGTCAAAATGTCCCTCAGCAGCCACACAACCACAGATGTTAGTTGCCCCAAATATTCTATTACCGAATATTCCCAGCACACTTGCCCCGTGCACCTCTCAGGTACTTGACATCTTATAAATGAATATACCCCAAATGATAAATCTCTAAAAGAGCTTTTGGGGCACATGTTGATCCCACTTGAGCAGGCTGAGTGTGCCGCCCTGTGGGGACCGAGAGGGAGGAGCAGGGACTAAACTGGGGCTGTTGATAGATCCCTGAGCCACTTAAACCAGGCAGGAGGCTAAGACCCCCTTTTACCTCCGCAGGGGTTATAATAGGCTGGTTATTAAGAGGACTTAGTGTGGCCAAGGGTGGTGAGGTTTTAGCCTGACTTATTGGCAAGAAATTATTTTAGTTCTGTTACATTTTAAGGCTTATTAACAAGTGAAAGGGAATAAAGATTTGTGATTTTGATGTTTGCAAGATCACAATTTTGATGTTTAAAAAAAAAATTGGGTCCATAATGGGCAATATTTTAAAGTTGTTTCTACTTTGCATTAAATATGTCTAAATTAATTGGTTAATTTATGGTTATTCACCAAAAAACAAAAAGTAATAATTGTTAGAAATACATAATTGAGATTCATTTCAATTCAGTCTATGCTACAAGGGATGTAACAATAACTGAAATATCACACACACAATAATATCATGGACCATCAACACTGTTTTAAGAGGAAAAAGTAGCATATTAACAGTTTTGTTAGCCTCCACAAAATACCACAATTAATATCGTACCATGAGATGTACATCGTGAAAATATTGTATAGAGAGATTTGGATATTGTTACATCCCTAATCGTGAGCTTCCCCTCCATATCATGAGCTTTCCAATGATATCGCAATAAATATCGTACCGTGAGGTTCATACCATGACAGTATCGTATCGTGAGACTTGAATATCGTTAAACCCCTATATGCTACACAATTTAGGTAAACCTAAATGTGAGGTGTTTTTTTTTTATCTGTTTATCTTTATCGTTCAGTAAATGTTTTGTCTGAGGAATGAATATAAATGACAGCTGGAATAAAAGGAAATGTAAGATTTCACTCTTGTTTGGTCACAGTTTTGATAGTTGTGAATACTTTATACTTTGATTATGCGTTTTATATATACACACGCACGCACACGCGCACACACACACACACACACACATATATATATACACACTATATTCATTCATAAGGAAAGGCAGAAATGAGTGCTGTATGCTGTGAATATGAGTTATATTAGGACATGTTTATAGAGCAATTACCTCAACAAAATAATCCATGTTTTACATAAGATGTCTTTGCCACATAAAATCAATGGTGTGAATAGATTTGTTTTGCATGTCCTTCGAGTTCGTACCAAGTAAAGCATTAATGGACGCTCACGTAATTGAATAACAGAATGTGATTATAAAATGTAGCTTTCAGAGAAGAGGATTTGGCTATTATTAACCAGGACACGGTGTGCAAAGGCAACATGCGTTAACGTGGCCTCCTCTGCTCTTCTTCTAGATACTCTGTGGTTGGTTTTATTGATAAGAACAAAGACACTCTGTTCCAGGACTTCAAGAGACTCCTCTATAACAGGTACGCCCCTCACCCTACCTCCTCGCCCACCCCCGTCTGCACGCTCCTCCAGTATTTCACACATACTTTGATTACATTACCTGCATGAATGACACAAGCCAGTACACCTAATCTCCTCTCTGCGGGCTCTTAACCCCCCTCACCATTTACCCATTTTTTCTGTTACACACACTGAATATAAATGTGGTCTTTTACAGTGGGAGGGTGTGTGGTATGTACAATGTATACGACTATAGTATATATTATAATGGTTTTGTTATAAATAAAGGCAGTGGTAAATGAATGAAAAAATTTACCATGTTTCTTAGTCTTCATCTTCATACTGTCTTAGTGTTATGTGTAAGTATATCGTAGTTGCCTTTTCCCATTCTAATACTGTGATTATACTCTACTGCAGACATGTCAAACTCAGGCCCGGAGGCCAAATTTGGTCCATGATATAATCATATTTGGCCCACGAGATCATATCAACTGTGTATTAGAGCTGGCCCGCCGGCTACAGATAGACTATAGAGATATTATTTATTAAAAAATGTGTTTTTATTTTATATTCAGCTTGTTCTGGATTCAATGTTTAGGCAAAACTATTACTAACCTAACCAGGTTATCATTCAAAATTAAACCCACAATATGTCACTTTTTTGCCTTGTTCCTTTGCCTATAATCTTAATAAAATATAAAATATAATCCACTATTTGTGAATTTTATAAAACTGCTGAAATTGATCAGCATGGACCATCAACTTAACATATTTTCAACAGTTTCTTTTTTATATTTTTGTGTATGGAGACATGCGAAACTGCATCATAAAATTAAATCAACTTAAAGTCCTTTATAGAACACAAATAATTAATATAAAATGTAAATGTATAGTAAATCCATGTTTTATATTTCATATGATAATAATCTTCTGTGCAGTTCCAACTCGGTGCTTAAAGGGATGTGGCCGGAGGGAAAGCTTCGGATCACGGAGGTCACCAAACGACCCCTCACCGCGGCAACGCTCTTCAAAAACTCCATGATCTCACTGGTGGAGAACCTGGCCTGCAAGGTGAGGGGGCAGGTCTCTTAGCAACCGCAACAACTGTAAAATATAGCGAGCCTGGATTAGTCTTATCCACTGATTAAATTCACCGTCATTTGTTGAAATTAAAGTAAAAGGGGCCAAAGGTGCATTACATACACTGTATAATCAAAATCACACGCAGGATTATAACATTACACTGTGACACAAGTGACCTTTTTAATAACGGCTGATTGCTGCACAAGTTTTAAAAAATCGATGTTTTAGCGGCATTAAATGTTATGAACCTTTTTCATTTTTGTGCACACCAGTTCAAATGTATACATGTTAATAGGAGAAAAAAATCTGCAAAATGAAATGTGATAATACTTGTATACTTTGGTTTACCTCCTGACTTACCTGGAGTTGTGTTTTGTTTCATTCACACATGTTTGAGTACCTTTTACCTTTTGTTTAGTAGAAATTGGAAATTCCATGGATGAAATTCTCCAAATCATTGTAGTAAAGGTGTATGAAGTAGAGCCCGACCGATATATCGGCTGGCCGATATTATCGGCCAATATGGGCACCTGGAGACATATCGGCTATCGGCCGATATGCTTGCTGATATGGGCCGATATTTCACGTGGGCATGTTATACCTCGTTATAAATCTTAGACTCTCTACATTATGTTCATATAATCCAATTTATAGACAGATAAATGTCCTAATATGTGGCTCCGCATCAGTATTTATTTGCGGTGTAATTTGTCTGTGTCGGTACTGTCCCTGAACACACCCCAGAGTCACGTCACTTCACTCACGTGCTATTGTTTACACCCGCAGCGGTGCGCAACACTGAGATTATATTCTTTTTACGGACAATCGTCTTGAGTCTGGATTAAAAGGACTTTTATTAGTGCAGACTTGTGATGTGAGGAGGAGCCTGTGTGAGCGGTGAGTGTTGGAAATATGTTAACTTTGAAGCTAGTTAGCTGTTAGCTGCTGTAGCTCCCGCACATAAACAGGCTGTTTTCTATTGGTCTATTGTAAAGTGACTATATTGGCCGTATATTTGTTACTGGACCTGTATTGATATGTAAATGAGCTGTGAATAGACGTGTGAATGATCCACATTTATGCATATAATTAATTACCGCGGTGCGCACGTTTTTACGGCTAAAGGCTAATAGCGATAGTTTACTAGCTAGGAGTTATGGGTCAGTCGCGATCGAAGCAGCTCTTAGAGCCGGCTCCTTGAAGCGAACAACGGGAGCATGTTTCTTATTGGGAGCTGTGTTTTCTCTTTGTCTTACTTTTTCTCTTCAAGCCGCATGTAGACCCTTAGTTTGACAGCAGCAGCGGCTGAAAACGAAACTTTCAGAAATCTGCGTGTGCATAGGATTTAAAAAAAAAAAAAGTGCATATTTGGCTGCAGTTCAGCATAAAATGAATAAACCAGGACTAGTCTTGAGAGAGAGATAGAGACCAAGTCCCGACACTCAGTCCTGGTTCAGTTCTGGTTTAGTCCTGTTTCACACATGGTTAAATCTGTTTTAGTCCTGGTTTAGTCCTTTTTCAGTCCTGGTTCAGTTTTAGTTTAGTCCTGCTTGCAGCAAAACAATCTCAAGAGTCGCTTGGGAGCCGAAAAAGCCAGCTGCTTTAGTGAGCCGAGCCAAAAGAGCCAGTTCTCCAAAAAAAAAAACTGGAATACCCATCACTAGTAGCTAGAATGTGATGCAAAAATGCCATTAGGCCAATCTACTGTATGTAAATATGATGTAAAGAGTCAGAATAACAATAAATGTTGCCTAAATAAACCCAATTTAGAATCCACTAGAGCCAAACCTAAGTTTTTTAAACAATTCAATATTTACAGTGAATTTTTACATCACTAAATATATCGGCGATTATATCGGCTATCGGCAGCGCCAACTCCCATTATATCAGTTTCATATCGGCCACAACAAAATCCATATCGGTCGGGCTCTAGTATGAAGTTTAAAAACACAGTGGAGCCCTTTGTGTATTACCTCATGACATCATAAGGTGGAACACAGTGTTTTCCGTATCATAGAAGAGGAAGGTATGTTTGTGATGTGGAAACAACATTATAACATAGATCAGAAAATTGCGTATTATTGGCCCTTTAAATGTAGTGTTTTGTAATTTCTGTGTAACAACAAAATGTTTTTATTTTATTTATTTATTTATTTGAAAAGGGACAGTGCCCATTAATCAACATCAAAACAATGTAAATGTGCCCGAGTTAGCTGAGCTAATTTGCATTGGTAGTCCCTGTTTCACTATAGGGCGTTAACAAAGATTGTACCTTTCATCAAACATAACTCTGCCATGAGATACACAATGATCACTGTAGTATTATTATTATTATGACTTTACATAATAATTATTCACTGACTGTAAACCCCCCTCTCCTCCAGGAGCCCTATTACGTCCGCTGCATTAAGCCCAACGATGTGAAGTCCCCCCTCCTGTTTGAGCTGCAGCGCTGTCAGCACCAGGTGGAGTACCTGGGTCTGCTGGAGAACGTCCGTGTGCGCAGGGCTGGGTTTGCGTACAGACAGACCTACCCCCGCTTCCTACAGAGGTACACAACCAACAGGGGATGATGGGGAGAATTATGTATAAAAGTAAACTTTGGACAAATATTTGGACACATAATTTCATTCAGTGTTTTTCTTTATTTTGACTACTTTTTACGTTTTAGGTACAGACAGAAGACATCAACTATATGAAGTGAGATATATGGAATTATGTAGTTAAAATGTGAATAAATATTACAGAACTAAATACAAAATATTTTTGGAGGATTAGTATATTATATAGATTTATTAAACATTTTTCTTTGCTACATAATTCCATAGATCTTGCTTCATATGCTGTATTTGATGTTTTCTGTACGTGTATAAAATGCAAAAAGTCAAAATAAAAAAAATAAAAAAATTGACTGGTCATGTATATCTATGTCAGTGTTTAGCGTAGTCACCCACAAACATAAAGGTGAAGACTTGTCCCTGTTCAGGTCAATACATGCTATTCTTGTGTCCTTGGGCAAGACGCTTTACTTTTCTAAGTATATGTTGTTTGTGACGTTTCCTACAAAAACACAGCAGGGGGCCATGGGGAAAGTCATGTGTAAGAATAATACACTTTAATCAAGGTCTGTCACAATAACAAGTTTATGTTTAGATGATAATATTGAAACTAGGGGTGTCAAATTATCGCGTTAATTGCGATTAATTAATTAGTTATATTTAGCGCGTTATGTTTTTTAATCGCGTTAATCTAATTTTTAATCTCTAACTTTACTGTTTCTGTATGCGAGTTGCTTTATTAGAAAACCTGTTTTTATGTGTTGTTGAGACAACAACACACACACACACACACACAAAAACACATTTATACATTTTTTTATTTCGGTAATTCCATTCATTGCCAGAAACCCACACAAAACGCGCGCAGTAAGAGCGATGTAAACATCATGTTAACGTTGGCGGCGTCAGTCGCACAATGGACGAGGTCATCGAGCCAGTAGAACAGAGGCAGCAGCGCACAGGTAAAAACACATTAGTGTCTTGGAAATTATTCTCCCGACGTGAAATATAAAAGAAAATAACAAATATAAAATCATCTACAACTTAAATGTCACTGGTGAAAACAACCTGCATAGGGTCATGATGTCTACACTATTGTCCTATAGTGACCTGCCACATGAGGGGACACGCACACAAACACACACAAACACACAAACACAAACACACACAAACAAACACACACCTTCATCATCGTCATTAACCTGAGAACACGCTGACCACGTTTCCTTCCGTAGACACTGCGCGGACACCGCTGTCCTCCCGTGAGCCGCGTGTGGATCGTGTTTTCTCGCTACGCTGCGTAAACCGCGTTTCCTCCTGTGCGCCTCTAAACCAGAACTAACACCAAGACTAAAACCGGGACTAACCCAGTCCAGGACTAAACCAGAACTAAAACCAGAACTAAAACCAGAAATAAAACCAGGTCTAAACCAGAACTAAAACCAGAACTAAAACCAGGTCTAAACCAGGACTAAACCAGGACTAAACCAGGACTAAACCAGAACTAAAACCAGAACTAAAACCAGTTCTAAACCAGGACTAAACCAGGACTAAACCAGATCTAAAACCAGAACTAAAACCAGAACTAACACCAGGACTAAAACCAGGATTAATCCATTCCAGGACTAAACTAGGACTAAAGTAGGACTAAAGCAGGTCTAAACCAGGACTAAAACAAGGACTAAAACCAGTGATCTCATATATAAAGCATTTCTCTATCAATAATATTTTTAATATGGTTAAGGAAAGACTGGACTTTTTATTGTCTTTAGACAAAAGTTATTATGTTCAGATTTCCTCGTCTTTGCTACTTTACAGCAAACAGTTTCTTATTCATGGAGACTTGGGCTCAACAGCCAAATTGGAGAGATTTGTTAAACAATAAATGACTTTATAAAGTCACTTTTTTTTTATCTATATCAGTCTTTTGATCTGCCACAATAATGTAATAATGAATTTAAATGAAAATACCTCAAATTGAAGGCTTTTCTCAGCAATTTTAGGTGAAATTAAAATGAGATTAATTAGATTAATTAATTACAGATCATAATTAATTAATCTCTCAATTTTTTTAATCGCATGACAGCACTAATTGAAACCAAACCATAAAGGGAGAATTATCCTCAAAAACTCTTCTAAATGCACAACATTGTTAAAAAAAAATGAGCTGTAATAAATAAATGGCTATCAAAGTAGTTTACTGCCAGTGAGCATGGGGAATGAATGAATAATACATGAATTTCGTGAAGCAAATTTGAGGAGAAGTGTATGTATAAAACTTATGGATATACTTATACATTTGATTGCTATTACAGTATTATATGTGTTATTATAGAACCACAAAAGTTGGAATTATGCAATTAGGAGTAAATTTAGGATGTTTTAAAAGTGTACTGTGTAACTTTTTGATGGGGGGGGTCCATCACCTGCTTGTTTCTATGGATATGTCATTGCTCTGCCTGGAATGTTCCACAGTATGACATTAAACAGTTCTACCTTACATTTATTTAATTACATGTGGTTTTATAGCTCAAAACTACCTAAAAAACAGGTATTCTGACTATGAGCGGGGTTGCCTCTCCACAGATTTGACCTGTAACTTGGTCTGGTTTGATCTCCATGAAGATAGAAAGGATAGAAAGGCATTTGACGGTGCCTCCACTAGAAAAGTTGCACAGTGCACCTCTAAGTTGAAATAGTAACATTCTTATAACCTATGTTTAGAAGAGATTATGTTAAAATCTCATCATGAACGTTATTTTTAGTTTTTTAGTTTAGCTGACATCTGTATTTTAAAATGTCCTGACTGAGCAGTTGAAGCTGACACTGGAGTATGAGATGGTCTGTCCTAACTGCAGAGAGCACATTTGTGTTACATAATTCTAATCAGTTGCTATTTAATCTGGTCCTGGAGCTAATCAAACAGATCCATAGACACCAAATGTAACTCAGCACTTTGATTTTTTAAGTGGAAAATGTGCAAGCTTTTACGAGGCCTGGGGATGTGCAGCAGTAATTGTAAGTTCCTTATGCAAACCACTCGACCTTAAAGAAGACCTTGAGCCTGCTGTAGAGCTATAATCTATGACACCTATGGCACAGGTACAAAGAAAAAATCTATGTTTTAGCTGCATTTACGTTTATGAACCTTTTTAATTTTTGTGCTCACCAACTGAAATGTATGCCAGTCAGTACATTAGAGAAAATACACCCAAATGCACAATAAAATATAATAATGCATACATTTAAACTGTTTACATATTAACTATTTGTTTTTACTTTTTAAAACAAATACTTACATTTGTATACTTAGACCTGCTGAAATGTTAGGTATATATAGGGTATATATTTCTGTTTAATCTGATCCTGGATCTAAACAAATAGGTCCATAGGCCAGAGGTGGGGACTTGCAAGTCTAGACTTGAACTAGAATCAGACTTTTGTCACTATTTTTAGGACTTGAGACTTGACTTGATGAAATGGACTAAGACTTGGGACTCAACTTGGACTTGACGGTCAGTGACTTGGGACTTGACTCTGCCTTGAGGCCTGTGACTTGAGAAGACTTGAGAAGCACTTTTAAATCTGAATTCGTTCTGTTCCGACCGTAATGATTCACACTAAGATCCTGTCAAAAATTAACATTTTTGCAACTCTTATATGCTCTATAAGTACTCATATATAAATATACTATGATTTTTTTTAAGCACAACTTATCTTAAATGTTATATAAATTGCAAAAATCTAAGCTATATTTGGTACTTTGGTTTAAAGACTCAAAGACTTATGGCCTTTATATGCCTGTATTTGACTTGGGATTTGACTCAGACTTGAGGACAAAGACTTGAGACTTGCAAAATAACGACTTGGTCCCACCTCTGCCATAGGCGCCATTGTCAGTGTAATATGTCATGTTTTTTTTTTTTTTTTTTTTCATTTACCCATCTGGCATCTAAACCATCATTTTTTTAGAAACAAAACCTTGAAAAACATTGACTTTCCATGGTCCTAATTTGTATCTTGGCTGGGTTGTGTTGCATGTTTCCTTGGAGATAGTTATATTTAATGCCATGCCATACTATGGGGAAGTCTGCATGGAAAGAAGCAGGTGGCAGTCTATTCACTAGAAAAGTTACATGATGCATCTTTAATTTTTTTATGTGGCCATCGTTTTGATATAGATATGGACTATGCTAAAACAACCCAGAAAAATTTTAATTTTACAATAATTAGTTTAGAAACCAGTTTTAGTATCAAATAGTATTTGGGTAATATTTTCCCCACCCTACATGGCATAGTGAACCACATAAACAAACTCTTTAAAATTGGTTCGGCCAATCCGGTTTTCCCCAGATGTCCGTCCTACCCACTGACCTCAGCGAGTGACACGCTGTACCAACACAGAGGATTAAGTAATGAGTTTTTGCATAACCTCTCATCTTGTGCCAATCCCCCTCGCTGGTGTCTTTGGACTTACATCACACGCACAGTACTGGGTCAGTGTGAAGTGACAAGTAATTGCGTCCCTCTCTCGTCTCTGAGATAATGTTTTCTTTCAAACTGTGTCAGTTCGGTCTGAGAACAACCGTTTTAAGTCACTCATTCACAGAGTCTCACAAATTGAATCTTAGTACAAAATGTGTCCATGTTGTCCCTGTAGAGCGGGGCATCCAAACTATGGCTAAAACGGCTCTCAGACCAATTTTACCCTATTTCCATCTTCCTGTATTGCGTGCAGTTTAAATGTTGTACTGCAATATTTTATCAATCATTAATTTAATGAATCTGTGTACTTAGAAATTCAAATGATGTTTAAAATTAACTAAATATACATTTTATTGATAAAAAATTGTTGATCTATGCATAATAACATCTTTCATCCTATAAAAGTTGGCTATTTCCACGGCTGAAATCATCTTCTGACCAGATCTTCCTTGAAAAAAATATCTTGATCTCAGCTGTGTTTTCCTGGTTAAATACAGGTTCAAAACGTACCTGAACCATAAGCCCAACCTGCATAAAATACATTTGGACCCCTAAATATCATGTGTTAATGTGATTTTCTTCTCTTATGTTTTGGTAATTTATTTTCATCTTTACTATGCATTATTTCAAGATATGTTTTATTTATTTTAGATACAAGATGATCTCAAAGTTCACTTGGCCCAATCATGATTTGGGTTCAGACAAAGCAGCGGTGAAGAGCCTACTGAAATCCTGTGGGTTTGAGCACGACGTCGCGTACGGCAACACCAAAGTCTTCATCAGGACCCCCCGCACCCTGTTCAACCTGGAGGAGCAGAGGGCGGAGATGGTCAAGAGGATTGTCCTGTTTCTACAAAAGGTAAGAGCAGCTCTTTTTCAGTCATCATCTTATTCATATTCGCCATCTGTCTATCCATGGGTTTCAGAATTGTGAAATATTTGGATCATTGCTATAGAAATTAACCATTTAAAACAAAATATTATATCTTTTGAATGGGAAAATGTCCTCAAAATGTTTCATATAACAGGAAGCTGAAATCCATGAGTAAACCATAAGAGTAGTATGGTTAAAGGGCCAATATTATAGTTTCTGGTCCATATTATAATGTTGTTTCCTCATCAAAAATATAACTGAACTGAACTAAAGGTAAAAGGTAACTAGCTGTTAACTTAAAAACTACCTCTACATGACATTACAAGAAGGAAAATGGCATTCTGAGGTTTGGAGATGTAGAGAGACCAAAAAGGATTACATGTGTTAAAGGGTTAAGAAGTGTGAATGAAATAAACCACAACTCTGGGTATGTTTTTGATGAAATAACAACATTCTAACATGGCTTAAAGCTCACAAGAGTTAATTTTGCACAATGCAGTACCTTTGCACACGTCATTTCCCACATCTCAGGTCCTAGGTTCAATTCCCATATGATGATGTGCCTTTCTGTGTGGACATTGCCTGCACCATAGGTTTTTATTATATTACTCCAGTTTAATACCTCTAAAACATGCACAGTCTTTCTTCATGCTTCATTAAGACTAATTATATGTAGTTATTATAAGTGTTGCCAGATAATCCCCTGGCCCCCCTGTTAACAAGATTCCAAATCTCTGTGGAACTGTCCTTAATTAATAAAGGAAATAAAAATATTTAACAGAAAAAAACACAGTAGCAAACTGGTACATTGTCTTAGAAATGATGCATGGGTTGAGGTGCACAGATGTTTAGTTTTGGTGAGGATTGCGGTACTGTAAACTAAGAGTCTTTGGTCAGTGGGGAAACCAAAACAGGAACTTATAAAGAGGCGCTAACACTGTCTATCCATAGACTATGTAAATGGACACAGCACAGATAGGAAGTGAGTATGGCGGGATGTATGGCTCCACCGACTCCAGGTCCAATTCACTTTGTATTGAAAAACCATTGCCTCTCTCTCTGTAACTGCTCATGGAACTGGCTCCAAATTCGCCCCATAACTGCGGTGAGCTTCATTTGACTGGAGCTGAACGCTATGGGTGACATCGCACTCTGTTAGTCCAATTCTTTATACATCTATGCTGCTATCATCCCCACACACCCTCTAGTGTTTTAAAAAAATAGTGTCTTAATCCACAGACTGGACATAAATGTAATTGTTAGCCTCATAAATCTATCATTCATAATGTTATCACTCCCAGCGCTGTGTTTCCAGTGGTGAGTGCCACTGAGGCGACTATTAAGTGATTAGACGCCTACCACACAGTCATAAAAGATCTGATTTATCATCTCTGAATCATGTCCACATTTAAATTCAGCCTCTTCATTTTGCATTTCAATCACCTCCGAGCCTTGGGTCCACTTATACAAGCTCTAAGTATTTCTAGACCACATTACATCGAGCTTGGATACCATTTTTGCTGTGTTCCTTTATCAAGGACACTTGCCTCTTTCTCAAACTTACTGAACCTGCGCCCACACAGTTTATATTAAATAAAATACACGCTGGTCTTTTCACACGTTCTTCTCAAGGGCTCAACAATGTTATTTTTATCCCAGGTTCATTATAGAAACACAAACTTCTATATTTTAGACCCAGGTTTTTAAACCTCCACCAAAATGTTGATACTGTAGCTGCACATTTTAGGATTGTGACATGGCTTATTTAAAACCCACTTGTACTTTTCGGTGGGGTTAATCAGCTATGGTAAAAGAAAACATCACAATAGTTTTTATTTAAAATTGTGATCACTTGAATCAATTATTTATTGTTATTCAAAGAGACTGAATATATTCTGGTATTTTCTGATCTGTGTTATAAAGTTTGCTTGTCAAAAACATCCCTGTAGTTGTGTTTCGTTTCATTCACACATGTTTTGACACACAAGCCCTGAGTTCTTCCACTGTGTTTTTAAACTCCATACACCTTCACTAGACTCATTTGGATAATTTCAGACCTGGAATTGCTAATCTCTACTGAAGTAAAGGTAAAAAGTAGCTGTTAACTTGAAAACTACCACTTTATGACGTCACAAGGTGGAAGAGAGCATCTTGTGCTTTGCAGATGTTGACAGACTAAAGGATTACTCAAATGTGTGACTGAAACAAAACAACTCCAGATATGTTTTTGATGAGGTAACAACATTTTAACATGGCTTTCATGTAAATTTTGAGTAGCAGAGTTGAGGACTTGCAAATCGTGACTTGGACTCGAGTCAGACTTGAGTCACTATTTTTAGGACTTGAGACTTGACTTGATAAAATAGACAAAGACTTGGGACTCGACTTGGACTTGAAGGTCAGTGACTTGGGACTTGACTCAGACTTGAGGCCTGTGACTTGAGAAAATGTGATGCTTAGACTAATTAACAAATTAACTGTTATTATTAGCTGTTAGTGCTCTTAAATCTTAACACTTTCTGTTCTGACCATAATAATTTTGCACTCTTTTCAATATTTTTAAAAAGGAAAAATTTGCATTTCTACAACTCTTATATAAATACTCACATACCATGAGATTTTAAGTATAATTTAGTTTAACAAGTATATAAATTGCAAAAATCTAAGCTATATTTGGTACTTTGGTTTAAAGACTTGAAATGACTTGACGCTCAAACCAGAAGACTTGGACTTATGGTGTAGTGACTCGAGACTCGACTTGGACTTGCTGGTTTTGACTTGGGACTCGACTTGGACTTGAGGTCAAAGACTTGAGACTTACTTGAGACTTGCAAAACAATGACTTGTAGAATTTCTTTGTCATTTTTTAGTAATGTAAGTGAACAAACGCCCATAGCACTTTACATAGCACTTTACACAGAACTTAATACACAATTTTTTAATCACTTCATTTGTATAATTAATTGGTTTAAGTGTAATCCCAGTTGAACTTTGATTAATTGCACAGCCCTGCTGTTGTATATTTTGCTATCATATATTTTTTATGTACTTTTGTGTCTCTCTTTCCACATCTTGAGTATTACACCTTATGGCAGTTCAACAGTCGGTCAATGGTGCTTAAGTGCATGTTTTCCTGTTTTGACGTCAGCTCGAGGTGGAGAGTCTTTGAGATGTGATTATTGTGAGTACTTGACATGTGTCAGATTGTCACCAGGGGAAAAGTCTCAGTGATAGATGAAACGTGTGGTCCAATTAAACTCCCTTTGCAAGTCTCCTGGAGGCTTCACATGGACAGGAAGCCATATATCAGTCTGTCAGCTGTGATGTGTGGCCTGCGTGTATTTAAATTATAGGTACCATATATTTGTGAACACTTAAAGGTCAGGCTGAGAATCACAGGGTCCATCACAATTCAGTATGATACACAATACATGGCTCATGATACCATATTATGGTGATTTGGAGATACATCCGAGAAATGATATTATGTACATACGTTTTAAAGAACCAAATGCATTTTAGCAGCAAAATTTCTTTGTTAAACCACATTCTGTGCAAAGTGAAATATCTATCAAAACAGTGAGTATGTCAAGTGTATTGCATAAACAAGTTTTGTTCTACTAATTAACAAAATTGCATTGCAGAAAAAATGCTAAGAGATATATGGTGATACTAATATATATTTTTATATTTTTGCCCACCCCTACTTAAAGGTTGAGTGTCTTGGCTAGAGTTAGGCTGCATTTATATGAGGACGGTCTGAACAGAAGACGCATAACTTTTTATTCCACTTTTAGACGAGTGTTTTCGGGAGGAAATCTGCGTGCATACAGTGACACAAAAGGGCGTCTTTGGACATACAGAAGTTTTTACGCCACACATTTTCATCAGCTACTCCTTCCACAAAGTTGTCCCACCATCGACTGGTTCTCCAGGTCTCGTCCATATCCGTCTGGCTCGCCTGTGACCAACTAGTGCATCCAGAATTTGACAGAGGTGATTGCAGATTCTTCTCTGTTCACTAATTTTATCTCTGCATATTTTGTACTTTTGTTTGCTTCCTGTGAGTTTATTAGAAAGTCCGATGCATGGAAATGATCCGACATGTTTGTTTCTGTGTACTGTATGTATGTGACGTAAACTTGTACGCAATGTGAGCAGATCTGACCAGAGTTTTGCGTCTTGGGCAGTGTAGATGGAAACGCTACAGTGGAGCGTATTCAGCTTTTCCACTCTGGAGGATGGTTTCAGATGTTTGTATTTTTAATCCCCAAAAATACCGTCACTGTTTAAACGAAAGGCACATTTTTACCTGCGTTCTCGTGTAAACAGGTCCTTAAACAGACTTTGGTTGTTGTCAGATTATAAGCAGAAGTCACTATTGCTGGGTTTCAGATGATGTCACTACATTCTATAGGCCATGGGGAGCAGCTAAAATGAATACTATTAAAATACATTTCTTTGTTGTAATACATAAAGTTAATGGGTCTAGTCCATAGAGTGTATAAATAAATGGACATACGTAACCTGCTAACCTAAATAGGAAAGTGAGCACGTGTGCGATTCCGGCTCCATCGTCTCCAGTTAAATTTTTGTTGAGAAACTGTCACCCCTACTTCGTAACTGCTGCTGTCAGGTTCCTCATTTTGGTCTTAAAATGTTTCTGTTATCCCGCTCTACATGATCCTGGTGTTTTTATTTCTCTATTTTGTAAATGGATTAGTTCCTGTTCATAATATGTCTCCAAATTCACCCCCATAATTTGTGAGCTTTGTGACTAGTGTTGAACGCTATGGGTGATGTCACACTCACTTTACCTTTTGGAAATTTCATGACAAAGAACAATGTAATTCTCTCAGATGGATGGCATAAATTTCCCCCATGTTATCATTATATGAAATCTGAAAAACACCAATTTTATATGGTTGACTGTTACTATATAAAAGGTCAGGTCTAACATACTGGCTAAAACACAAAAGCTAACA